ACTGCCTGCCATCCTAGGTTTGTAACTCAGGAAGTGACTTTTATGGCTCCAGCTCAGCTGTTCATGCAGCAAAGTGACACAGAATCCAAACCTACTCCCACGCAACATCCGCTTGTAACCTCTTAGTGTGACATCTGGACACATTTGTTTACTCAGCATCAAGAGGATGCAAGAAGTATTCAAGTTGCAAAGAGGAGGAGGCAGGCTGTACATTTAATGCTCTCCCAGACATTTGAGGGTGTGAAAGAAGAGATGCCGGAGCAACAAGTAGCTCTGCCAATACATAAGTTGCATAGTAAGTTTGGTCCTCTACATGAGCATAAGCCCAAGGAGTTTGCCACATAAGGCAAAGGACAAGATGGCGCTACCCACCACCACCATTCCACATATAGACGCAATCTAGAGTTGTCCAACTGTCCAACTGGGTCAGTGCTGATGATGAGACAGTGTCCTCCATTGCATCTGAGAGTAGCAGGATAGTTCAAACCTCTCCTGGAATATGGTGTCCAGTTGGCCACCACAGTTCAAGGACATCGACAAGTCAGAATGTGTCCAGGGAAAGACAACTGAGGGCCTTGTTGCATGAGAAAAGAAATCCGAAACAGAATAAGAGAGTCCCAGCTTTCTCCATGCCTCTCTGCATGAGAATGTAGCACTTCCATTCTCTTTCTGAAGGAGACAGTTGTAAAAGCATGTCTTTTGTGCCTGTAAAAATCAGTTTGGCAAATGGCACACTTTTATGACCATCTCTCTCAGGAAGGAAAACAGAAGTGTTAACACCATGCAGAGAGGCATAGAGAAAGCCAGTACTCTCCCATTCTGTTTCAGATTTCTTTTCACATGTGATAAGGCCCTGAGATGATCAAATGTGTGGAAGCCAAGTTTTATGAAAAATTACTTGGGGAACTGGGTACGTTTAGCTTTGAGAAGAGAAGACAGAAAGGTTGTATGACAGCCATATACTGGAACAGATGTCATGTAGAAAATAGAGTTTGTTTTCTGCTGCTCCAGAGGCCAGAGTTAGAAGAAAGGAATTTCCTCCTATCCATTAGGAAAAACTTCTTGACTGTAAGAACTGTTCAGCAGTAGAACAGACTCATTATCTTAAGGTCTTTACAAGGGGTTGGATGAGCATCTTTCAGAATTGCTTTAGCTGTATGTTCCTACATTGCAGAAGGTTGGACTAGGTTGCCCTTACGGTCCCTTCCAACTCTAGGATTCTCCATGACACACACAACTCTGCCCTACAAGGAAGAGGAATGGCTGGGGAGTAATGATGGAGGGCTGTTCCACAGTGCTTGTACCTCACACACATGTACATCAAAATAGCATCGACCAATGTCTCCTATATCACTTAGGGGGTCAATCCACTACAGGTTTTAGTGCGTGGATGAAAAGGGGTACACAAGGTGCTGAATATATTGTAGGGAATGCTTTGAGCACCTTGGGTAGCTTCTTTAAGTTTCAGCTACACTTATCCCACTGACATAGAAGCCACGAGTCGCCACTTTATCAAACCCAGATTTGTGCAGTAAGGTTTTCATCTAAAAACTAACCAAGAATGCATCTACACTGCACAATTAATACAGTTTGACCCTGCCTTAACTGTCATGGCTCCATCCAATGGACTCTTGGCATTTGTCATTTGTTGTGGCACCAGAGCTCTCTAACAGAGAAGGCTAAATATCTCGCGAAACTACAAATTCCAGGATGCCATAACATTGAGCCATGGCAGTTAAAACAGTGTCAAACAGCATTAATTCTGTAGTGTGGCAGCCTAGGAGGTGCAATTGTCACTTGATGGATGGACTTATTGATTGTCTCTTCACTTGATGCCACTTAGTTGAATGTCTGTATAGTCTCTTTTGAAAGGTGTTGGGGTTACAAAATATAACTATAGTTAAGTAAATAATGGAAAATATATAATGAATAAATAAAGTATACTACAAATGAGTGAACACAAGACCAGAAGCTATTCAGAAGAATAATATATTCACAGTATTCAGAAGAATAATACTGCTTGAGAGATTCTGAGAATTATAGTCCAAGATCAAGATCCTATAACCTTTCAACATGGTGTGAATACACACCACCATAGTTATGATATATCTGATAGTCATACAATTGTTTGTGCAACTCACACTATGGCCCTGAGGTCATCTATTGTACAACAGTCAATGAATTCTCCACTCACCAAGTCAAAAGTGAGAAAGAGATGGCTGGCTATGTGTGTGTTTGTGGAATTATTGGTTGCGTGAGGAACCAAACTTATGTCACCACGCTCACAATTTTATTTGTTTGTTTGTTGACATTCTGTCCTGTATCTAAAGATCTCAGGGTAGCATACAACAAAATCACCTTCACCAATTATTTCTGTGGTGTAGTGCCCTAGCAGAATTCACTGTTAGAACAGAGCTTATATTACAAAGTTCCTGAGAAGAAAAGATGCATGAAGCTCATTTCTACTTACCTTGGACACTCAGTTCTGCAATGGTTCTGCTACCTTCTTTCATTTCACAAATATAGACAGCATCATCATCCATGGTAACATTCTGGACCGTGAGTTTCCGATAGGTCCCTTCTTCTTCAATGCTGTACTTCTGGCTCTGTTGAAGTTTTGTCTCCTCTTTGAACCAGGTGGTTTCTGTAGTGGCAACGGGAACCTCGCACTGGAAAATAGCGGACTCCTTCTCCCGGACTTCCAGATCTCTTAGCTTTGTCTTGAAAGGTATTCTTGGTTCTTAGGGACGAGAGAACAAGAAACAACATTGGATTTATAAGTCAACAAAAGAACTAGAACACGTTCCAAGGATTGCTCTAATTGTCGATGTGATGGAATAATTTATATCAGCGTGACAGAATAATTTATACCCATTAGCTTTGCTGCTTGGGGCCAACAGGAGTTGCAGCCCAAAAACTCCTGGAGAGCCATAGTTTCTCTATCCTTCATTTAAGTTATTGTTGCTCACAGACGCTAATAGCTCCCTCCTCCATGAGTTCCTGTCAATCTAAATGGAAATCTCTTTCCCCACATTTTCTGCTGTTTCTACTTGTAACAGGAAAGCACACATACAGTACAATCTCTGTGGGAATGGTACCCAGTTTCACTTACCCATGTCCAAAAAAAGGTGTCTCTAGACATTTACTAAGTCCTCCAGTATGATTCTATGGTATGCTCTCAGCAGAAGTTGGCCATAGAGTCATGCTGGAGAAACTAGAAATGCCTCTATGGTCAACTTCTGCTGGAAGTCATTCATTTTAATAGAGTTCATTCACTATTATTTGCAGTTTTGTGTTTCTAGACTAAGTCTGGGAATGTATCCCATGCAGATATGGTGGTCTTACTGTATTATACAACAATAACACTATGGATCTAACTGTATATCCTTCTATTCAACTCATGAGTCATAGTTATGCAATGAGAAGGCATCACATAATATGCCAATTAACTGCCCACATGGCTGAGCAAGGAATCGAACCGTGGTCTCCAGAGTCACAGTGCAATACTCAAACCACTAGGCCACACTGGTTCACCTCTCATTCATAGGGTCATCATGGCTGCATCTGCACTGCAGAAATAATCTGGTTTGACACCAGTTTAACTGCCATGGCTCAATGCTATGGATTTCTGGGAACTATGGAACTGCAGAGATCTGCTTTGGTGCTGCAACAAACTACAGTTCCCAGAGTTCCATAGCATTGAGCTATGGCAGTTAAACTGGTTTTTAAAGGCATACAAGGGACCTTTTCTATAAGTATGTTCTGCTTCAGCTAAGGGAAGGGGAGGATGGAATGTTTTTATCTGTTGTATTTTTAATCTGTTGTACACCGCACCGATTGCTGAGCAGAGGGGCGGGTTATAAATAAAATTTATTATTATTATTATTAAACTGGTGTCAAACCAGATTATTTCTGCAGTGCAGATGCATCCCATAAGTCGAAGGCAGTTAACAACAACTTGCTTTGTCCTTTGGCTCTATTCTTCTTAAAATAGGCACATTTAGCTGAACGATTAATCAACTAAAGCCCATATGATTAAGCAACTGTTATTTTTTGTAAGTGACATAAGTGAGATACTTTCCTTCATACTTATGTGTGGTTTTCAAATTGCACTGCTACTCTTAGCTTGTGATCCCTCCAGCTTGGGCCATCTTCTCCCCTGAGGAAAAGGCTTCTCCTGAATGTTGAAAAGTCAGGAATAAGTTGTGCCACTCCCGATGCCCGAAGAGGGTTGCCAGTGAGTGTGAAGGTTATGAATCACTGCCAACGGCAGGCCAGGCCACCTGTTTGACATAACATGAAGTACTTCCAGCATGACAAGCAACATTCCCCATTACTTTCCTCTGTTTAGAATACTTTGAAACTTAAATCTTCAATCCTCTAGGTTTTTTGGACTTCATTTCCCAGAATCCTTGACAATTGACCAAGCTGTCTGGGCCTCTGGGAGCTGAAGTCCAAAATATTTGGAGGACCAAAGTTTGGGGATCCATTACTTAAGAGAACAATATGCTATGTCCCAAATTAAGGCTGGGCTGTTGACAAGAGATCATATATTTTCATGCTCCAGTACCCTACATAAGATGACCTGGTTTAGAGCACAAAAATAAGGTCCAGCCAAATGATCCAGTTATGATTTGCTCCTGATTGGTTGCTACTGGAAATGAAGAGTCAGAACCAAGGGTGTGACTAAGGGGGTGACTTGGACTACAATACACAGAATCCCCCAGGATTCCCCCAAGATGGATTGGACCAGAAACAGATTAGTGGTGAAGTGGAAGTTTTTCAATTTTTGTAGAATATATCAAAATTCTCCTTTCTCTGGGTCCAGAGTATGAAAACTGATATATCTCAGATGAAGGAGAGGAAACTGAGGTCATGAACTGAGAGAATGTTGTTTTAAATCATCTCCAAATATATTGACTTACTGTGAAGCCATGCAGGCAAGGACCCATAGCAATGCTATTGACCTACAAATTCACGGTATCTACAGTTGTGAAGAGGGCCAGTGTGGCATAGTGGTTACAGTGTTGAATTACAACTCTGGAGACCAGCATTCAATTCCCAGCATGGCCATGAAATCCACTGGACTTTGGACAACTCACATGCTCTCAGCCTCAGGAAAAAGCAATGGAAAACCTCCTCTGAACAAATCTTGCCAAGAAAACCCTATGATTGGGTCACTTTAGGGTCACCATAAGTTGGACATGTCTTGAAGTCACACAACAACAACAACAACAGTTCTGAAACAACTGGGGTTAAACCCAAAGCTCTACAGCCTGGTGTGCACTTGCATTATCAGAGGCAACTTTCCTAATAGTTTACAATCCATCTTCAGTTCAGATCTTGATAGACAGAGCTTCTGCAATTCTTGGCAGTCAAAAAATCCCTGTCCTAGACTGCTGAGATGTATCTATGTATTTTTTGCGCCTGCATTTCCATATAAATCCTCTTCAGCTAGTTGTGTAGCTCCTTTTGGTTGTCCTTTGTGGGTTCAAGAACAAATAGGAGTTGGAAAATTGCCTATCAGCCTCTAGTATTTAATCCAACTGACCACAACGATGACAGCACCTCCTTTGTTAGCTTCCTAGACAGAGCTAGATGGCATTATGTTCTGCATGGCTATGATTATAAAGCCAAGTGATGCTCCCTGTCAACAGTCTCAGGATGATAACAGAAAATGCACTATGTAAAAATGTAGTCTGGCACTGCAGCTGTCAAAAGGGATCCACACAGAATGCTTCTTCCTAAAGCACTGCAAGGAGTTGCTGAGTTTTGGCACACTGTTTAGTCATGTGGTGGGACTACTTCTTGGGATATAATGTCAGCAAGAAGTCTTGAATTTGCCTGAGACTGTCATGTCCTATCTGGAGTAGGCTTCTTGAGACAAAAAGGGGAAGAGAAGAGCCAAGCAAGCAGGGTCCAGGCAGAACCAACCCTGCCTCAGACCTATAAGAATCTGGCCATCCTGCCATGGAAACAGAGCCCTGGCCATTGCATGTAGTTTCCACATTTCAATGAGCAAATCTGCAGTACCATAAAATTGAACAGTCTTTGTGACTACATTTAGTTACAATGTTTGCAGATGAATGCAAAATCTGCATTTGATAACAGCCATGAGGTCCCAAATCTGCTCTAAAAATCAAATTTTTGTCATGAAAACCAAAGCAGGATTGCTTTCTGAAACATACATGGTTGCCTTGATGTTGTGGTTTGCACAGTATAAAAAGAGGCTTCTAAATCTGGCACATATTA